ATGGTAGCAGAACACAGGTCTGGATGTGTCTAAGACACCCTCTAAACACAAGTCAGCATGTTGCAGAAAATACCTGCTTTGAAAGGAAGGTGGTACTTACAGTAAAGCCTTGGGGCTTTCCCTCACCAAAACTTCTGAGTTCATGATCTCTTACACCATGTATTCTGACAGGGTAGTTTACGGACTGGTGCTAAGAATTCATGATTATAATTAGTACACCAGCCCTTGCTAATTGTGAGACTTTGGGTAATACACTTAACGCATTGCAACTACTTTCTCACATATAAACTGACAAGTTGGGTTAATTTGCCCATTTGCTTAATGATCACCATCTTGTTAGGAAAGGATTTAAGACAGCTTAAAAAGAAATGTGAAGTAAAAAAGTTGGTCTTTAAAGGGTCTTTCCATTTAGACTCTGAGTATGAAGAGTACAAGTAGATATTTATTTTTTTAAGCTTAATAGGAAAAAAGATTTTTTTCGTTGGTCATATTTGAAAGAAATATTCTACTTTACTAGCCTGAATTATTCCTAAAAATCATTTGGATGAAGGTTAGCTTTATTGTGTCCTTATTCTGAAGTGATTTTTTTTTAAGTACTAGGTCTTAGAAAACACAACAATATTTAAAGCCTGTGATACCAGTGACAAGTGTTTTCAGCAAAGGTGGTTATGTAACCTCCTAAGTACCTGTTCCATCTCATTCTATTCTCAAAGTCTCTGAACATGAGTTCAAAGGACATTACCAAAGACAAACCTTATGTCTGAGGCAAAGGAATCAAAGAGATATGGCTGGTTCCCTATTGTAATCCTGTTATAATGAAGACCTCCAGTCTTGCAAGATCAAAATATTGTATAAAGAGAAACTTCCCTTTTAATTTTAACTCCCTCCTCCCCCCATAAGGAAAAACTCCAAAAAGAAAGTATTTATATAAATTTTGATCTAAAATCTCTAAGTATGCAGCACATGAATACTATGGGATGCCACAGACAACATTCTATGCTCTCCCCCAGGCCACCCATGGAAGACACTCAGACACTTCTAACCCCTGTGGTGAGCTGTGGACCTCCAGGGGCCCTTCTGACCCGACCCATCATCCTCACCATGCATCACTGTGCAGACCCCAATACTGAGGACTGGAAGATACAGCTCAAGAACCAGGCCACCCAGGGACAGTGGGAGGTAAGCTTCTGTTGGGATGAAAATGGAAGGCAGAAGCATGCTAGGTATATAAGCAGGCATGGCTATGGGAAAGTTTTTCTTTTTTAAAGCAAAATGTGTAGTATTTGAGTTTTCATTCAAAATGAAATAAAAGAAAACAGAGACAGAGATGAGGCCGAAAAGAAGGATCCAGGGATAGGGGGCGAGAGACCAATTCGTAAAATGTTTTAATTACAGATTTATTGGCCAAATAAATGATGGTCAAACATTAAGTAACTCATAGAGAAAGTCTTACAAAAGTCCCTTTTAGGATACATTGGAATGGGAAATTATATGTATGTTTGTGAATTGTAATTTTTATTATATTTTGTATTACACACACACATATGTATATGCACACACATAAATATATTTACGTCACTCTTCATTTTGTGCATTTTTTCATCTCAGTTGTAATCCCTGTGGACTTCCCACCACCAATTCACCCATGTGCCATCCCCAGGCTCTTCCTGCCCCTTTTCACCCCTGTAGAATGTCTGGTTTATACTTGTTTGCTGATTTTCAGTGTTTGTATGTAATTTTACAAAAATATAAAAGTGTAGACTTTCTAAAAGCTTGTGTAAAAATAACAGAAAAGTATCATAAAGGCCTGGGGCCTGCCATGTCACACTTCCTATAACGTCTGAGAGTCTAGATCATTGAGGGAAAGCAGTATGTTAGTTTGGAAAATAATTAGCAGAGGAATTTGGAAGTTCATTGTGGAATGGTGTAGTTTATTACAATCTTTTTTCTCATTCTTTTCAAGCCTCTAGAGTTTTTTGGGAGGGGATACTACCATATATAATGTATTGAAATAAAATAGTACTTACTTTTGGGTTAAAGAAGAAAATATTTCAAAAAGATTAAGATATTAAATGTTCTCAAGCAAACAATAAACTTAATAAATTGCTTTTGGAATTTGATATAGATTCTTAGTACATAAAAAAAATGCTAAATAAATCCCAGAATTCATTTGGAATTTTATGTAGATCAGAAGGTAAGACACGCGAAATGAATGAGACTGGAATTAAGAACAGTATCAGGGTGAAAACAAGGGAAACTGGGAGATAATGATAAGGAATGGAAGCAGGTAGAAGAAAGGCTGAAAACAATAAGCTCAGGAGATGGGGCCCCCCGGTCCTGCCCTGCCCACAGTTCTGGGGCCACCTAGGTGGGTCGCTCAGCCTCTGCCTCTTCCTCCCCCTGCCTTCCCCCAGGACGTGGTGGTGGTGGGAGAGGAGAATTTCACCACACCCTGCTACATTCAGCTGGACACCGAAGCCTGCCACCTTCTCACAGAGAGTCTCAGCACCTACGCCCTGGTGGGCCAGTCCACCACGAAAGCGGCCGCCAAGCGCCTGAAGCTGGCCATCTTTGGACCCCTGTGCTGCTCCTCTCTGGAGTACAGCATCAGGGTGTACTGTCTGGATGACACCCGAGATGCCCTCAAGGTAAGTGGCTCCCCGGCTGGCCTTCCTCGCTCACTTGCACAGCAAGCCCAGGTCTGGGGTCTCGGCAGCACTGGAGAGGGTGGGCTGTGTGCACCCACCCAAATGTGTGAACTCTGTGTTGGGCTACAAATGATGCCGTAAAGAAAACAAGACATTTCTCTGAGGCCATGCTAATAAACGAGTGGTTTCCTTTATGCTGATTCCTCCCAAGGGCTACTTTTGTTTACCTTCCTTGATTTCTTTTAATGAAAAATTTAGAAGAAGTGGAAGAATCTGGCACAGAGATCCGTGGATGGTAAATAATCTGCGTCTGTGTTTATCTCAGCTGTGTTCTTCCCATAAAAGGAATTGGCATAATTGCTCACACTGTATGTTCCTCTTGTGTCCTACTTCATTTACACGCTTTCCCATTCTTTTTATGAGGACTGTGAGGAAGAGGGTTAGCATTTGACAACAGGCTGCTGCTTTGCAAAATAAATGGGCTTAATTCCTGGTGTTATTATTGCCTTCATTTTATCCCACTTGAAGCTTTAGAGGATACAGTAAATGTCTTTGAAGAACTTATGATCTAGTAGGAGGAATAAAAGAAGTATGCCAAGGATGGAGAAGGCAGTCAGACTGTGGTGAATGCCATCGACAGGAGGTAATGTTCTGTCGGGTCCAGGAGAGTGAAGAAGCATCCTGTTATTTATAGGATTAACATTTGAGATTGACCCTAATGGAAAGTAGGATTTGACCAGAAATACAAGATTTCTAGGTGGATGGAACAAGTAAAGAAGCACAGAAGGCATATTCTCTAGAGTGAGAGATATGACATTGGTTGCCAGAAAAAAGAGCTAAGGTTTCCTGAGCTAATGGAGAACCATTACAGAAATTTAAAAGGAAGAAAGATATGATTAGAAATATGTTAAAAATATTAATCTCACTTCAGTGGAAAGATAGTGTCAAGTGAAGACAAAAAGCCTGGGAGAACCAGGCTGATAAGAGAGGAAGGAACAGAAGGGAATCAGTGAGTCCTTGTGAAGGAACCTACCCCGTAGCTCTTGCATGGAGGCAGACTAATGGTGAGTGGGAGGAGCTGAGTAGCAAGCCGGCCTCTAATATCAGTAGCAAGCAGCAGGAGACAGCTTTGGGGAATGGCTATGGTGCATTTGCTTTTGGAATATTGATGTGGAGAATGAATTAGACATCAGGACAACCATGCCCAAGAGACAGTTATAAATACAAATGTGGCCCACTGATGAGAGAGCAGGTCTTTCCATAGAGACTAAAAGTCTATAATGCTGATATGTGTCATCTATGGAATCAGGGAGAATATCTTAGAAGAATAGGGGGATAAAATCATAAACAGTAGTAGATTGTTCTGAGTGCTTCATATATACTGGGCAAGATTCTAAATATGTCCAAAAATCCTACAAGATACCATCACCTCCATTTTGCATGTAATCTAAGGCACAGAAAAATTAAATGAGTCATCCTGGATCACATAGGTCTAAAATGGAGAGCACAGAATTCTTGCCCAGGCAGCTGGCTGCAGCTTGGACTCTTGCTGTCACATTCTAGAATATAAGGCATGAAGGGGAGCCCCATTGCAAGGGTGGAAAAAGTGCAGCCAGCAAAGTAGCTACAGAAGAATAAGCACCAGAGAAGAAAATGGAAAAGTTGGAGAAAAATGTGTCAAAGCAATCAGGGGAGAATTTTTTTTTTTAAATCAGAGTATTTCTTTCTAGAGTTTCTATTCAGAAAATTGAGTATTACAGGTCATGTCCATCGAGAGGTGAGACATAGTAGGTCACTGGATCTATTTTTGGATGGTCAAGAGCATAGGAGTTACTAATTTTGAAGACATTAAGGTTATTTCTTTTATATTCCTTGCACATGTGATATTTCTAAGGCACTGTCAGCATAATGCTTTAGAAATCATCCTAGGCTTTAGGTCTTCTTAGGGAAAACTGTATTAACAGGGAGCCATGGGGTCTGATTAAGGCAAATCTTTTTAACAAGTCCAAGAAAACTCATTGCAGACAGCATCTCTAGAATATCTATGTCACATTTGAAATATTTAATATGCATGTATTTTATTAATTACTTAGTTCTTGTACTCAAACTTGAGCTTTCATCCCAAAAGATATACACATCTACACAAAAAATGTAGTACTTCATAAGATAATTTGACTGTTTTAACTAGTAAAAAGCTACACAAATGTTCAATACTGAGAAAGACTAACAAACACATTTAAGCAATAAGAACAACCCAAGAGCAATGCAAGCCCAATGCTTACCAAATAGACACTTATAAATTCCCAGCATCTGGGGAGCCACCATATTAGCCTAAAACAAACATGAATAATGGATAAGGTATTCTTGCACCTTGTAACCTTTAAATAGTGCAGAAACACCAAAATTCTAGTTATAGGTAAATAGTCTATCTAGTATGCCAAAGAGACAATTAGTTCAGTCCCACCAATACTTTCTCACACGTGTTTGAATTGAAACCCTGGGGCTGATTAACTCAAAAAAATTCTTCATTACCTAATTCTGCCTTCATGGAAACCTGCATGCTAATTTTCTCTTGTCATCTCCTCCTCCTTGCTTCTTGAATAGCTGTCACAAACATACATACATATATGTGTGTGTATGTGTGTGTGCTTATCTTTTCATATTGTGTTATGCTTTATTGAGGTACTATGGGTTTCCTACAATGTATATGAGTTACAACTATCTGTTCACACCTCTTTAAATATATGTTGCCACACCAAAGCCACCACCCAAGGACGCTTGATCCTCCAACTGGGCCTTTTCTTCCTTTGCACCCCATCCTACACTACCTCACTCTAGTAGCATTGTTTCTACAGTCAGATTTCTGGGGTTTGGGTTGGCTTGGTTTGGTTCTGACTGTTCCTTTTTTTTGTTTTTCCATATTTCACTTAAGAGTGAAATTGTTTAGTATTTCTCATTCTTCTTCTGACATTTCTGTCCCATTTCTATCCAGTCTGTTTTTCAAGGACAGGTTTTCTTCCTTTTTATATTCCATCCTTTCATATTATTCCATTCCATTTTATATTATTTTCTATATTTCATTGAGAACATATACTTCATTTTCTGAATCCACTCATTGTCACCAGGCACTTAGGTTGTTTCCATAAATGGGCTATTATAAATAGTGTGCAGTTAGCAGAAAAGTGCATACATCACTTTGAAAGTGTAGCTTTATAATCTTTGGGTAGGTACTTAGTAGTGAGATTGCAGGATCCTATGATGGAACTATTTTGTAGTGTTTTGAAAAACCACCACATGGTTTTCCATAGGAGCTGAACCAGTCTGCATTCCCACCAACAGTGAATGAGGATACACTTTCCACATCCTCACCAATAGTTGCTGTTTCTGGTCTTTTTTTATGCACATTCTCACAGGTGTGTGGTGTTATTTAATTGTGATTTTGATTTGCAGTTTCTCTGATGATAAGTGATGAGTATTTTTTCTTGTGCCTTTTGGCCATTTGTATGTCTCTTTGAAGAAGTATCTGTTGAACTTCTCTGCCCACATTTTGATTGGGTGTTTTCTTGAGTTACATGAGTTCTTTGTAGATTTCAGGTATTAATCCCTTTTAAAATGTAGGATGTGCAATTTTTTTCTCCCATTGGTATAACATATTTTTGTTTTATTTTTTATTAATGGCATATTATTACTGTACATCCTTGCTTATAGGATTTCACCTCTAAGTGTGGCCACCATAGTTTCCCCATCACCAAAACACCCATAGTCATCTTTTTGTTTTAATGTTTATTTTGCTATACAAAAAAAAAATTAAAAATTAGTTTTATGTAATCCCATGTGTCTATTTATGCATTTGTTTCTGTGGCTACTGCAGTCCAGTCAGAAACACATCTTTGAAGCAGGTGTCTTAGGGTAGTTTACTTGTGTTTTCTTCTATGTATTTTCAGGTCTTACATCCAAGTCTTTTATCCATTTGAGTTAATTTTGTTGTCTGGTATCATCTATTTTATTGTTTTGCAAGTGACAGTCAAGTTTTCTGAATATTACAGGTTTATAGAGACTTTATCCATTGTGTACTCTTGGCTCCTTGTCTTTAACTAATTGTCAATAGAACTGTGGGTCTATTTCTGGGTTCTCAATTCTACCAACTCTATTGGTCTGTGTGTCTACTTTTATTCCTATGCCATTATATTTTGATTATTGTGGCTTGGCAATATTTTTTTGAAGTCTAGGAGTGTGATATTCTTGCTCCTTTTTGTCAAGATTATTTTGGCTGTCCAGAGCTCTTTTCGTTTTCATATAAATTTCAGTATAATTTATTGTATTTTTTTAAGAGTTCCATTGAAATTTTAATAGGAATCCCTTGAATCTGTCTATTGCTTTGGGTGAGATAGCCATTGTAACATTTTTTAATCCATGAGTAAGAAATACATTCCCATCTCTGTGTCTTCTATTTCTTTCAATAATGTTTAATGATTTTCATATATAAAATATGAAAATTACCATCTTTGATGGATTCATTATTAGGAAGTTAATGATTTTCTGATGTATACAAAGTGAGATTATTTACTTGATTTCTTTCTCTTATAGTATGTTTTTTGCATATAGTTATGCAACTGATTTATTTTTGTATCTGTTTGTGGCAAGCCAATTTACTACATTAATTCATTGTTTCTAATAGATTTTCAGTGGGTCCTTAGGATTTTCCATGTATATTATATCATATCATCTGCAAATAAATACTATATTCAGTATTACCCTATCCAAATGTCTTCTTCTTCATTCATGTTCTTCTGAAAGGTTCTCTGTCCCCATCATATGGGAATCACTTGGAAAGTTTTAAAACAGGCTTGCTTTTAAAACTTTTTAATACAGAATTTTAGCCCAAAGGTTCTGACTAATTAGCTGAAGTTTCCAGCTGTGTGTGTGTGTGTGTGTGTGTGTGTGTGTTTAGCACACCCTGGGTTATACTATTGTGTAGCCAAGTTAAGAACTATTATCCT